ACAGACAGACAGACAGACAGACAGACAGACAGACAGACAGACAGACATACATACATACATACATACACACATACACGCAATACGACGTGTATACATGTGTGTGTTTATATCATACATGCTCCTGACAGTGTAGGTGTCAGGCCCCCATGTATCCTCAAGTCGAATTGCCAAATCGAGTGCGCGCTCTCTTCGGATGGTCGGCGCGAAGGTTCTTGGACTCGGATGGTGCATATTTCGTCGACTACTCTCCCGACGTCTTCATGCCGCTGATCAATTGGCTGCGCGAAGTCAGAGACTCCAACCCAGATGCCACGGTGCCAGTGACGGTGAAGGATGAGTACAGGATGGCATGGGTGAAAATGATGAGAGCCTTGTCTTTTGATCTCAGGATCCTGAAAGCTGCAGGCATCAAATTGGCTGATTTGTGTAGAGCTGGCTTCTCTGAAGAGGAGTGTAGAGCTGCGCATTTCCCAGGGGACTACTCCATTTGGAGAGACGAAAAAGATGACGCGATCATGCCTCCAAGAACAAGAACGACTCGGCCGCCGCAGGCTTTTTTTATGTGACATGACCGAGGACACCGACCTTGGCCGCCGTGTGTGGAGAGGAAACTGCGGAGTGGCAAGCTGCTCGTTATGCCATGGACTAGGTGGGTTAAGCCTCAGACCAGAGCGGCGAGATGACATGGGCCCATGGGCAGGACGGATGGGGCCTCAAGAGCCCGAACCTGCTCGAACGTAGCGCGAGAGAGTGCAGCTGTGAGAGGGCCGTGCTCCTCCCGTCTCTTTTTTTGGCCTTTGGCCCATTCCTGATCAACCTATATGGATTTGGGCTGCATCCCGAGGTCCGGAACGAACAGGTCCGGACGCCATTGAGACGACACAGCCAGGTCCTGACCGCGGTCGCGCTGGTGGCGCTCCAGTGTCACCAGCCCGATCCTGGGACGTGGGGCTGAAAGGACGTGGATCCGCCCACACGGCTCCGAAAAGTGGAGAAAACGGCTCAGACAGTCAGACAGGCCGATGAACTTTCACTACACTCGTTACTGGGAAACGATTTGGAAGCTTCACAGGCTGAACAGTCCTCAGGTGCTTCCCACCATGGCACCACTTAATGTAGACTCTTCATCTCAGACATTGAAACACCTCTTCAGAAGCAGGGGACCGAATGAACAAGAAGTCTACAAGATGTGACGGATGAACGTGAACAAACATGTGAAAAGTCATGAACATCATCCCATTTTTGGTGGGGGACTTGACACATTGACACGCTGATGCTAGTTCTGACCTGCTCAGTACTCGCCTGCTGCAGCCCACCACCTCCGCGCCAGGCCTCGCGAGGGCCATGCCCCGCGCGGCCGCCTCCTTCCACGAGCCCCCGCGCCGCCGCGACGCCGGCGCCCGCCCGGTCGCCACGGAGCAAGGGCCGCGGGCGGCGCCCGGAGCGCCCGGCGTCCCGGTGCCCTGCGCTGCGTGGGCCCAAAGCCACTCGGATGGATGGAACTGGATAGGATTTTCATGCCAGGACCCTGTCGGGGTGCCCTGTTTGGAAGCCGGTAGTGTGGGGTAGTTCATTGACCGTTGTCAGTTCATACGCTTTCTCCAGCTTTTGATCGACCGCATGCTCGGACACCCCCGTTGGTGTATGCTTGCCCCAGTAAGCCAGCAACAGTCAAGTCAACAGTCAGTAGAATTTTGGGGACAGGCCTTTACTAACTATATCACATACTATCATCATCCATGGTTGGTGATGGGATATTGCCCAATCGGCTGGTTTTGTTGCGGAACTTGCTGCTAGGACCGGCAACCAGAGAAAGGATGAACAAAGTTTAGGCTTTCTGGGGGAAGGGGAAGCGGGAAACTGGGTCATGATATTCAGGCCATCCTCACCTGGAGCGCTTGCACGTGGGGAGGCCCCTGCATAAGATGGATGGTGTAGCTGACGCTTGGACCTTGGACAAATGGGTCGCTGGATGTTTCAAGAGCACTTTCTGCATCTTTCTATCTCGAGCATGCTGACGTTTTGGGCGAACTTGGACAGACTTGGTGGGACTGGGGACTGTGTTGGAAGCCCCTCTCGAAAATTCGCTGATACATCTGCGTGCACAAACGCACGCATCCTTGCAACTTCTTGGCCACTCACCTAGTTCATCTTGCATCATTCTCCAGTGATTCCTTTGGGGTGTCTTTTTTTGTGTTTCGGCAGCCTCATGACCAGACGTGCGGTGAGGATACCATATTTCATCCTATTTCCTGCTCCGTGTGTGGCACATTTACCTACGGGGTGGTTCAGGGCATCCAAGAGAGGTTAGGTGACCTGAAAAAGGGATGGAGTGTTTAGTCAGATACGCTTCCTCGACATTTTTTATGTACACCATTACACCCACCTGTCTGCAGACACATGTGTTAGGAGTTTGTGCACCTACAATCCAAACCCTTCAGAGGCACAAATCCCATACTCATCGGAGGCTAGTATAGGTGGCGCAAACATCGTGGGAACCAAGCCTCGGGACTGAGTTCGATGCTTTTTTCAGACCTGATGGTCGAACCTACGTTTTGTGAACTTCCGTCATCTAAGGGCAGCGACCCGACAGCCTTCCAAGAACATGTGTAAACATTGTTGACCTGGTTTAATGGCCCAATGGTCAGTCTCAAGCCCTTGGCAAAGCAGTTATGTTTGGGATTCCCTCAAATTCATGGTGGGCCAGGAATCCTAGGAGTGACCTTCTTGACCTCCCACCCTTTCAGAAAGCAGCACATCTTGGTCCTATCGACCAAGGAGGAAGTGGTCGCCTCCACGAACTCGACGCCCAGTATGAGACCGCGGAACGTGAATCTCATCTCTGACTCCCGTGTGCTGCAGGCCGGTGTCGGCTAGCGGGTGGGTGTCGGCTAGCGGCTAGGAGAACGACGGGGGCGGGCAGAAGACCAGGCTTGAAAGAGAGGTCATCAACACAGACCAACAGATGATTTGTTTTTTCCTGCAATGTAGACACGCAGACTCTTGATCAATAAAGCCTCCCCTTCCAGAATGGTTTACCTCTCTATAAGGGTTTTATTCATCAACTGTCTAACTTGCTTGTGGTTCGAGGTGTTAGTTAGTTATAAAGGGGTATAGGCTGGGCTCTGGCCGCATGAGCAGGGCATGAGTCTTTTTGGGGTTCTGCCTCACCTCACTCTCCCGATCCTGGCGCGTCCTTCGTCGCACGTCCTGGCGTGTCCTTCGCGTCCTTCGAACTGCGTCCGCTGGCCTACCCGGGGCGGCTCGGCTCGGCGGGCGCAGGTGCCGAACAAAGATCTGGAACGAGAGTGCCTCGAAGAAGTGGATGGAGACGGGTGGATCGACGAACGGCCCTCCAAACGTAGGCAGCAAATGACATGAGAGGATAGAGGTCGCTAGCAGCCGGAGATGAGTTCACCTGGATAGAAATGCATGAGGCAATGTGGCATGCTGAATCCGTGAATCTGGGACGATCCAGAGTTCGAAAGACTTCGAAGCACGTCTTCTTATCGCAACGTTTGTTGCTTTCTTCAGGGAGGGGAAGAGATTTTCTTAGGCGTGAGAAACCCAAGGACATATTATATATATATATAACTATATATACTTTATATTATAGGTGCAACAACCTTTATGCCTGAAATTGTGCACTTGTGAGAAGTTGTACCACCGAGTGGACTGCTTTACCTGCGCGTCATGAGGGATAAACATGTGCAAAGAAATCAACTTTTGTTTTAGTGAACGCCAACCATTTGCACACATTGTGGCATACATTTAAGCATACCTCTATGCAGAGAAAACAGTGTGCGTGCATTGAAAAGTTGCCTATCAACTGCGGCCACTCAGGTCAGTATCAGGTCAGTAGGTCATATTATGTCAGACACTCAAACTTGGACTAGGCAGCTTATCGCCAATAAAAGGAACAACACCTGGTTTTGGTGCGAAACATTGTTTGAAGGTGTGGCGATTCAGAGAATGCAGCACGCTCTGACAAGGTGCAAGTTCCGACCAGGTTCCAGGTTACAATGCTGGCCCTTTGGTTTTCTTCGGGCCAAGTTGGAGGTGGCCACCCCATGTACCCGGGCTCCCCCATGTACCCAAGTTTTCAACATCCGAAGACCGGTAAAGACTCATCACGAAAGCTAGCCTTAGCTAGCTGGAGTTGCTCTTGCTTTAGCAAGTTAAGTGACGGGGTGGACGCACCTCAGAAACCTCAAATAATTGATTAAATCAATCTTATGGACCCCCCCCCCGCGGTTCGACTCCCCCCTGCGCGCGGTGAGCGGGACCACCAAGCAGCTGCAGCACACCAAGCATCTGCAGCGCCCAGCGCAGCAGCGGCAGCAGCAGCAGCAGCACCAGCAGCAGCAGCAGACCACCCAGCGGCGGCAGCAGCAGCAGCAGCAGCATACCCAACGCCGCGGCAGCAGCAGCCGCAGCAGACCACCCAGCGCCAGCAGCAGCAGCAGCAGCAGCAGACGACCCGGCGCCTGCAGAGCACCCAGCGCAGCAGCGCCCAGCGCAGCAGCGGCAGCAGCAGCACCAGCAGCAGCAGCACCAGCAGCAGACCACCGGAAGCCCGGCTAGCTTTCGTTCACCCCCTCTGGCCTCAAGTTCTATTATGTGACTAATTAGGTCAGTCACATGTGCATGCTTGTTCAAGTCTCTACTGAGAATCGCTTGGTCGGATTCATCTTCGCCGCTCGCCATCCATCGGCTTTGGGCATACCTGCTGCAGGGTCCATGGGGCATGCATACCTGGATATTCGAAGGAAGGCGGACACGTTGCATAGTTGATCATAGTTGGAAGACCCAGATCTTTCTCGGTGTTAGGATCCACTCTGTTTCAACACTTTTTGACTCTCACTCTCCCTCTCTATCTGCCAGGATCATCCTGTCTGGGTGTCCTGGCTGGAAATCCAATAGTGTCGTCCAGCCAGGAATTTCCAGACACGATGGTGCTGGTAGATGTCCAGAACACCTGTCACGCCCTGGTGGTTGACAGAGCTACCGCATCTGGTGATAGAGCCCAAAAGGGCGAACAGAGCGCATCACCGGACCGGTGGGGTCTTTGCCACGCATCACCTGCTCCGTCCTAGGCGACCGGTCCAGGCAGGGAACCGGTGGAGGGACACCGTCGATCGGAGCGGTGGCCGGTCATGGCGCTGCTTTTTGCGCGGCTATACTATAGAACTCGAAGCCGATTCCCAACGATCTATCCAAATGGTGCTGCAGTGGATGTGCCTTCCCTCCCACTGCAGCGACTTGGGTCGCGACTTGGAACTCTCTGGCCCACGGACGAAGGTGTCCAGGTGTTGTGAGGCTCAGGTCGAACTCGGAAACGTCCGAGCGACCAATCGACCAACGACGTGGGGGTCGTTGGAGGCGGTCGGAGCGGTGGGTTTTTTCAACACCTGGGCGGTCTTGGTGGCGAGATTCTGGGGGGAGAAGGATTTGCCCAAGCCAAAGTGTCTTGATGTGCCAGCAGTGGGGCAGCTGGCGTGTCCTGTGGTGAAAGCGTCTTGATGGGGGTGCCCTGGGAAGTTCTGTTCGTTTCCCAGCCTTCACCTCAGCTTCCCCAAGAAATGTGAAGAGGTTTTGCACTCCAAATGAGAGGGTTTTGTTCATCAAGATTCATCAAGCTTCTACATTAACATCATTAGTCAAAGCCCCAAAAAGATCCAAACAATGAGTTCCTGCCGCCAGTGATCTCCAGTTCAATCCATTCATGACACCTTCGCCGTTCCACGCTTCCCTCGGACCCACCGAACTCCCTGCGAGCTCTCGTAGTCTCGTCTGGGGCGCTTGTCCACCAGCCCCACCGGCCCTGCGAGCTCTCGTCGTCTGCGTCGTCGTCTGCGTCGTCGTCCGCAGGAGGCCAAGAGGATCTCGCCCAGGGACTCGCCTCTGTCGCCCACGCGGGTGATCAAAAGCGAGTCCTCGCCACTGTCGCCCACGCGGGTCATCAAGGCGGTGGTGAAGGAGGAACGCTGGACCGGAGAAAAGATGGAGAAGGAGTGCGAGAAAGGGCGAGAGCTCGGGCGAGAGACGCGGAGCGCTGGCGTTGGTGAAAGGTTTGTGGTTCGTGGCTTATTTTTGGGCCAAAACATGCCAAAACATATTACAGCTGTTCCTGTGAGGGTTCTTACTCCTTCGAATGGGTGGCTTTTTGCTGGTCGTCGGGTTTTCTCCTCTTCTCTTTCCGTCTGCTCTCAGTGGCACTCACGTGCCAACCTGCTGCCTGCGTGCCAAAAGGGCCGCCATTGTCTTTAACTGCTTCATAGGTATACTAGTAGCATCTAGTAGCAGCATCTAGTAGTTATTTGCTCCTAATTACTGTAGTAGTAATGCCCTTGTTACTAGTAGCAATGCCCTCGTTCCTAGTATATATAGCTTCTTGTTACTATAGTAGTCATGCCAGGAGCTACGTTCGTAGCGTCCTTGCTCCTAGTAGTGACGGATGGTGGATGTGCTTTGTTGATCTGTTTGTCCTGGGGCGGTGACCGGTGACTGGGGTGTGAGATGATGACACGTACAGTTGGGGTCCGTGGAATGCGGATGTTGGTGGCTTGATGTAGATTTGTGACTGCGAATGTGCCAGAAAAGATCATCATCGAACAAATGCAAAACAACAAATCAAATAACGATCAAAAAAGAGACCCAACACCCAAGCAAAGTTTTTTTTTTTAGTCTTGCCAGGTGGAGGCTCTGAACTGTGATTTCTTTTTGAGAATAGTTTTCCAGTTGACCAAAAAACAAGACTCAAGGCCCAAGCCAAAAACAATCCAGACTCAAAGAAACAAACGCTTTTCATAGGCTCTGCCCGCTCAAAAAGTCAGAGCCTCCACTGGCCTAGCACCCAAGTATCCAAGCTTGATATTTTTCTGCGTGAGTGTTACTTTGTCTTTTTATATATTGTTTTCTACTATATGGAGTTTCAATGGTCATTTTTGGTTGAGTTTTCTGCTGAGTCTTGTATAATTTTGTTGATTATATTTTTACATGATATGAGCGGTCAGACGTTTAAATTCGGGTAGTTGGTCGCCGCCTGGTTTGAGGCACGGATTCGGACAGCTGGGAAGCTGGCAAATTTAAACAGGTTGTGCCAGGCTGCTTGTCATAAAACTATACCATCCTAAGTAGCCTCTATAGGTCTATTCCAAGCTATTCAGACCGCACAGGGTCAGATTCGGTCCAGGAGCGGAAGTTGGATGAGAGCAGCTTGGCCTTCAGGGAGTCGGGCTTTGCCGAAGGGGTCGACTGATGGGTCTTTCGTGCGTTCCATGGCGCCGTGGACGAAGGACCATGCCTGCCGCCCCTTTGGGGTGGTTTGGGGGATCAATGGGACTGGCACACATGGCAGTCCCAGACGGGTCGTTTCTGGGTGATCATGCCATGATTGATCTTCTTTGCTTGTCCACCACCAGGCTATCATAATAATTCCGGCGGCTGGAAGCATCGTTTGCCTAGTCCGCCTTTGGTGGGATGATGGCGTCATTTCTTGACGTCGCACTCCTGCTTCTCTTCATGCTCACTGCTTACGCTGCTTCTTCAGCACCTGCCAGGCCATGCCGGACCCTCTGCTTTCCTTTCTTGGGTTGGTTGCCTTTCCTGGCCACGCGCGAGGCTCCCACGCGTGAGTTCACCGAGGTCCTCCCAAGAACGATCGTGACACTGACCTAGCCAACAAGACTGCGCAGTGCCTTGGTTTGGATGGTTGGATCGATGAACAGCACGATTCGTGCCACGGATCACCCTGTTAAGACATGTTAAGACCCTGGGCGTTATGAAGCAAGGGATTGGGGGAGGGAGAAGTTCAGATGGCCCAGATGATTCATGGTGGCGCACATCTGACCTACATTCACCGAACACCACCAATATATATATATATATAAGTGTAGGCCATATTTGTGCCACCATGAATCGTCTAGCATGGAGAATCTCATTCTCTGCTTCATTCGTGCCAATGATTCCTGATTTGTTCTTCCAAGATTCGGAGGGTGACCGGTGTGGGAATGGCGACGGCATGGTTGCGAAGCTGAGTCCAACCCCAATGTCCTTCTAAGAGACAAATCACTGAACGGCGGAAGTCGGTTCCAGGATCTTCGTGGAAGGGCTGCCCAGATGAGGTGAAGAAAACGGCAGATGGCCCAAAAGGTTCCAGATGGTTTTCCCAAAATGGAGAGTCTCACGACCGGTCTTTGACCAAGACGAAGATGTCCACCGACCGGCGTCTGACCTGATGTCTCTGTGGAGGACTGTGACATTTTGTCTCCACGGATAGTCACAGTATGTCACAGTCTTTGCCAACCATTGATGAACCTTAAAGTCTGCTGGGTGGACTGAAACAAGAGTTTTTTGCTTTGGGGCCTGATTCACTCGTGGCAGGCAAGGTTTGTGGGGATTGGGACTTTTCAGAGGCATCCGTAGAGGCAGAAACGACTTTCAGTCTGTATGTTCAGAGGTTGTGCTGGTACCTGTTGAAATAATACTTATACCGTATACCCGTACCCGTACCCTACATTGTAATAGGACATAGGTGCGGGGCGCAAGCAAGCGTGACTTGGGGAAAGGATGGGAAAGGACGCCGACAGGATTGCTTCCGGTCGGCCAAGCATAGCATGCATAGGTCAAAGGCATGAGCTTCAGTCGCTTCAGTCGCACCCCTTTTGGGAAACGAGTTCTGTTGTGTAGTTCACTGCCACCGCGGGCTCTTCAACACCCTGGCCGTGGCCGTAGAATACGCAGTCCGCTCACCCCGTCTCCGAGACGGGTGCGGCCTCGCCAGCCGGCCAGGCTTGAGCGCGATGCGCGAGATATGTTGCAGCAATTCCAAGAGTTTGAGCGGGAGAAGGAAGATGAAGCCACTGGGTGAGGGTTTGGAAGATTTTCTTCACCATGGGTTTGGGGTATTTTGGGGTAGTTAGTCTAAAATTAGTAGTAATGAATAGTTTTTTGTTGGTGTTTTGCTTTTCTCCACGCATGATCGAGGAATGATGAGTGGAACATGTTTCATGTGTCTTTGTCCTCACCCGTCTAACACGGAGACGCGCTGTATTCACTCATTTGTTCTTCGTTCTTAGCAACACTCTTTTAACTCTGCAGCGTTGCACGGCTACACTCCCGAAAACGAACATAGACCCTAACAATGGTCCTCTGGAAGCCCTATTTTCCTCTACCAACCAGTGGTTTTCAGGTTCCATGGGATCGTCTTCCGGGTGTATGTCTTTTCCCCACCCGTTCGACTGGGGCCTTCGGACTCCGCGAAATCGCCCCCGGACCGGTGTCCACCGCGTGGAGGGGCCCAGGTGAGAGAGTTCCACGCGGAGATCGCACAACTGCCGCTCGGACACCGCCCGCGAGACACGCCGCGCGGGGTGGAGCCGGTGGGCTTGACCGCTTCGCCGCTTAGGAGGGTGCTTCGTCATGGGCGACTCCGATAGAGTAACAAGTAACAAGTCCTTTAAATTCAGAAATGGTGTTACCATCTGTGTCAGTGTTTTGATGAAGCAAGAGTCGACCTTCTCCTTGGGCTGTGTTTCAGCTACGAAATCTGCCGCATTTGTGAGCACAGCATTGGAATCTCTTGGTTTTGCTTAAGGTGATTTTAACAGTGATTTGTGTTTTCCCTATTGGGTGACTCCCCTTCCCGGGGACTATTTTGCCCGGTTCCTTTACATATCCGACAACTGCACTCTGACCAGACAACAAGAGGCTATCTCATATGATGACAACCCCATCCGCAGCACCTTCCTTTGGCGGAAGCATGGCTGTCGTTTGCAGTTGTCATGTTTCCTGGAATTCTTATCTGGCATCTAATCCGACATTCTTTCCGGCATTCTATCTGGCATCTATTCTGACACTCTTGCTGCTTTATATGTTATCTGGCACCTATATAACTCTGGAGATTGTTACTATATGCATGGCTATTCAACAACGTTCTCGTTGTTGGCATGTATGGCATGGCATGGTCCACACCGAGCTGGGAACGTCCCGACTGGTCCGGATCCGTGGCTTCAGCTGGCACATCCAGATCGAAGGAGGCACGGCAAGGAGGAGAAAGAAGGAGTTGCACCAACCACAGAGGGGCCCTCACCTGGCAGGTGGGAGGAAAAACCAGTATGAACAGCATCCAGCATCCTGGCCTAACAAGAGTAGTAAGAGTATATATTCAAACCCGTGCTCGGTCCTCCGTGCTCTCTCTTCTGCAAGCCCGGGCCTCCAAGGCCTGGGTGTCCGAAAAAAACCACACGCAAGTCCTCTTTGATCTCCTGCACCCTGCACGTTGCCAGACATCAGCACGTTGCCGTGCTCAACTCTGAAGAAAAAAGGTGAACACGCACACCACACGCGATTTGGATTCGATGGCGTTTGGCGAACCAATGCCGCTGGTATTTTGCGGGGGGTTGTAGGCTTTCTTCTTCGGGTATTGCCTCTTAGGCTCTCA